AGACTATACAGTCTAGATGTTAGGGAGAATAACCTCTGATCTACTTTCGCTGACTGCCTAGTGAACAGTCATTCTCAAGCTAAATCTGGCATATATTTTGGGGAGACAGCTTAAGAGAACTCCTTCTGTTTCCCACAACAGAGTTGCTTTCAGGATTCACTATCTTGAGGTCCCTTAGTGCAATGCCTGGCACATGGTAGGTGGGCAATAACTGGTGATATTATTACTATCACATGAGATGAACACATGGAGTCTAAGCAAATGAATCAACCACAATCTCTACCTCTGCCTTTAGGCATTTTCAGGGTAGTTGATGATGAGTTTAGATGAACCTACTGCTACAACTTCTCCATTTTCACTCTTTCAGTTTTGTGGCTAGAGGGAATAATAAAGTGGAAGTTGGTTGTGCAGGCTGAGGCATGAGACAGGGCTGACTACTTTTAGGTAGACCCAGGTCAGCAGACATCCTCAGCAGATTTACTTTTCCTAGGTTTGTTTTGGCCCAGATTATGCACCTTTTATATTCCTTCCCTTCTTTTCCTTGTCTCATCCTCAGGTAATCCAGCCAAACACCAGCTTAATAATTACTGAGTTGTATTTACCACATTTTCTTCAGGGGGATCAAATAATGGCATTTGTGGTGGATGTACCAGCCCCCCACCACTAATCACAGGTTCAACAGATGCAATTGTACAGTTAATATATCTGAAGATTATAGTAAAGTCATAGAGAGCATGAGAGATAAAAGAGAGATTGAAGTAATGGAGTCAGGCACATTTCATGGTAGCATGCTCACCTCAGCCCTGCTTGGTGGTCCACATGGAGATAGGGGGTGGGGAAGGAGGACAAGAAGGAAGGGAACAAGGGAGCGAAAGGGAGCAGAGGAGTGAGGATGGGAGAGGAGAGGGGGAACCCACAAAGGACCAAGAGAGGAACCCGAAAGAGAGAGAGAGAGAGAGAGAGAGAGAGAGAGAGAGAGAGAGAGAGATACACACGCAATAGGAAGAGGAGGGATTGGAGGTATACATGTGACAAGAAGGGTAGATCCTACATTCAGGATGGCAGCCTAACATTGAGCAGGTTTGA